GTTATGAGAAGCTTTTTCATGGCAGAAATACACTCAAGAAGTTTTGTCATTGCCTGCTGAGGGGCGATCACTATTAAAAAAACCTTTTCTAATTTAGATACCAAAGATCCCGATATCTTAACGAAATCTTTAGGAGTATCTCATTTTTCTAACGATTTTTTTACGCATCTTCAATGAAAATTACATATACGAAGTGGTTGACACGAACTCGTAAAGAAATTTCTGTATGAAAAATAAAGAAAATTCTGAAAAAACTCTGCAAGAAATTCTTCAATTAACGGCTTTATTTTCATTGTTTTACCGATTTTCTTCAGAAATCTTGTAAAAGAATCGAAGTGTGCACAGTTTGTTTCATTTTAGAAAATTCTGCCAAAAATCGGATGACATCTTTACTAGTTCATTAAAATTTCTTTACAATTCAGAATACTCTGAAAAGTGGTTTGCAGGAAGCTACTTCAATTTTCGAGCAACGTGGCATTACAACTTCTGTTTGTAAAAAGTAGCGCATTAAACGAATATTCAAGCACAAAATCGTTACTAAAAGCAAAAGTAAATCATTAGTAAGGCTTCCCTCTATGAAATGAGGTTACTATTCGGTTAGTAGCCGTTTTATATTTACTTTGTCACATCAACATTTTATTAGATACATTATTTCAAACTACAAAAGGGTTTATTGTGCATATTTGCTAAGTGCGTATCTCATTTAATATATGGCCGCATTTTTTTTTTTCAAATATGTATACTAGTGAACACGTTTATCCGCAGTACTTACAAATACATATGTGCATATGCACGCCTGTATGCGATACTATTACTATATGCTTAATCTCAATGAAGTTTAAATATGCATTTAGACTTATCGCTGCGTTTGTTGATCATATTCCTTCATTGTGACTACATCTACCGAAGCGATAAGTCAAGTGCTACATAATCAGATTCTCGGCCAGCATCAGCGTGTCAGCAGCATACCGAAAATATAAGTTATTTGATTGCGAGAATTTTACTAAAGCAAAGGCAAAAACTTTTTTGAGTGCAACCGTAATAAATATGTCGCATACAACACCATTGTCGTCGGGAAATGGGTATGGTTTCAATTCTCGTGCACCACTGAAGATTGCAATTATAGGCGGAGGTTTGGTGAGTGCGAAAAACCCTAAAACTATTCGAGACAATATAGCAAGTGCCACACCTATGGAGAGCATGTATACTGTTTCTAAGTTGTTAGGACGTGATTTTTATTTTAATTTGTGTGGTCATTCTGGTTGGACATATAGTTTTACGTCGCCTGGGAACAGTAAAAAGATTCTGTGAGCACTTTTTGTGGCCTGCGAAGGTCGATGCCACCTCCCAACTTGAACAGTCTTGTGATATATTACACACTTTCTAAAATTTATATAAAATAAAATAAAAAATAAAGCAATTTAGGTTTGAAGCGCCTTATCAATATAAAACTCTGCTACTTATGTATATGTATAGGTAATAGGTTATGTCATAACTAATTAATAGCACATACCGAGAAATAATTAAAACAATTAAATTTCTACTCTAAAGTTTCAAATGAAATCCCGCATTTGGAGATTAAGCTCTTGCAATAATGATTCAATTATAATCAAATTACACATTGGGCCCTAGGCTGAATATCGTCATCGTCGGCCGTACCGATGACCGGGCGGATTGTTTTTTGATAAAGTATATCTTCTGCGACACAAGAAGAAAATCGAAAAATACCTGCTTCTCACAGTCAAACATCCGTTTTTGGGATACCTCTATACAACGTTTAACCGTTGCAAAGTATTCGAACAACTTTTACAATAATAAAAATGAAATTTCAATTGATGTAATAAATACCCAATACTCAAAAATACCATCATTAATTGAATTTCATCAAAATACTAATGGCAAAGCATATAAATCTATCACTAATTTTTTAAACGACATTGAAATTAATTTATAATTTTATAAATTAATCTAAAATTGGAGGATGGCGTTTTAAGCTTAATTAATATAAGAATTATTTTTTTTTTTGTAGCCAATCACTAAAGTCNAAAATAAAAAATAAAGCAATTTAGGTTTGAAGCGCCTTATCAATATAAAATTCTGCTACTTATGTATATGTATAGGTAATAGGTTATGTCATAGCTAATTAATAGCACATACCGGAAGTAATTAAAAAAAATTAAATTTCTACTCTAAAGTTTCAAATGAAATCCCGCATTTGGAGATTAAGCCCTTGCAATAATGATTGAATTATAATCGAATTACACATTGGGCCCTATGCTGAATATCGTCATCGTCGACGATCGTCAGCGCATCAGTAACACGGCTGGCGGGGGCCGTACCGATGACCGGGCGGATTGTTTTTTGATAAAGTATATCTTCTGCGACACAAGAAGAAAATAATCGCAAAATACCTGCTTCTCACAGTCAAACATCCGTTTTTGGGATACCTCTATACAACGTTTAACCGTTGCAAAGTATTCGAACAACTTTTACAATACTAAAAATGAAATTTCAATTCATGTAATAAATACCCAATACTCAAAAATACCATCATTAATTGAATTTCATCAAAATACTAATGGGAAAGCATATAAATCTATCACTAATTTTTTAAACGACATTGAAATTAATTTATAATTTTATAATTAATCTAAAATTNTAAGCTTAATTAATATAAGAATTATTTTTTTTTTTGTAGCCAATCACTAAAGTCTTTTGTTTTGGGACTTAATACATAAGTCACTCTTAAAAAGTTCCCTAGATCTATGATCAGTAATAGCTAATTGCACGAAAACTCCCTAAATACTCCTTTTCCCAACTCCATCAAGTTTAAATCGTAGCTGAATGTAATTTATTATAATTTGCGCCTAGAATTCTTTAATTCGTTGACAATTTTTTTTTTTTTTTTTAAAGTACTAGTTTTCCCCAGATGCATTATAAAAGTGTTCTTACACGATATGTATTTCCATCTGTAAAGGTGACCGTTTCCATACATACGTAATTGCATCTGTCTGTCAAAATCACAGTATTTATTTAACCCTTCAAAATAAAACAAACACAGATAATTCTTTCTGTAAGTCAGATGAAAATAGATACATTTCTATTTCGTATGTACGTGCATCTGTTTTGTACAGAAACAAATCTAATTTGCCTTTACACGATATGTTGGCGTTTCCATATGTAAAAAGTGGCATCTACTTACACTTTAAGGGCTGGTTTCTCCAACTCAACTTAACTTAGTTTAGCCACTTTTTGGACTTAAGTCAAAACTTAGCCTACGTTTTACACAGCTTATTAATGACTAAGTCAAGAAAATTGGCTTAACTAAGTTAAGTTGAGTTGGAGAAACCAGCCCTTAGTCTCTATGTATGTATACTTGCCTAGAATATATATATTATTTACATACGTATATACATTGTAATTATTAAGCCTGAAAAAAACACGAATTTAAATCCCAACACTCTGCTTATTGACTGTTTAATATGCGCATACAATTGTTATAATTGATTAAATAGTTGGAAAGTGATTGAAACGGGGTTAAAACACGAGAGATACAACATTCAGTGTCAGCAAGTAAAACGCTATATGGCTATTTAAAAAATCTAAAGTGATAAGGGGAGAGAAAATGATAAGACACACGCTGTGGCAATGATTTAAGCCGACAAAGGACTGCAATACTGACGATTCTTACATTTTATTAAAGTTATTCATATTTTTCTTTATTAATAATAAAAAATAAAATAAAATTATAAATAAATAAAAAATACACTTCCTTTATTTCCAGGTCGGTTCATTGGCCGCCCTCAGCTTTGCTCGACGAGGACATGAAGTACATTTGTATGAATATCGTGAAGATATACGCAATGCGGAGTTGGTGCAAGGTCGTAGCATCAATTTGGCTTTGTCGCAACGTGGCCGCAAAGCGCTTGCCGAAGTGGATTTGGAGCAGGAAGTACTCGCAACAGCCATTCCCATGCGTGGTCGTATGTTACATGATATTAAAGGCAATCGCACCGTTGTACTGTACGATCCCTGCACGCATCAGTGCCTCTACTCGGTGGGCAGAAAATATTTAAATGAAGTGCTGTTGAATGGTAAGCTTTGTTTGGACTTTAGTTTGGAATTTCCTAAAAGTTTTCAATTGTTTCGCTTTAGCGGGTGAAAAATATGCCAATATTCATCGACATTTCGAACATAAATTGAATTATGTAAATCTGAGTGAGGGTCGTATGGAATTCAAGCGGTGAGTTGATAAATTAAATTTATGCAAAATAAAAAACCATGCTAATAAAATTATTTAGAAAATATATTCACTTATTCTACCGCTAGTGGTTGTGATAACAACAACATGGCATTTATTTCGTTCTCCCGACAGTAGGCTGTGTGTTACCGGAACTTTCCAGTTTAGTATCTTGTAAAAAATTGTCACCAGCATTCCCCACAACTTTTGTGGAATACTTTTTTTTTTTACAAACACAACTATCTTTCTTCTCATTTTGCAGCATGCAAACTAAGGAAGTTGTCGAAGATTTTGCAGATTTGGTTGTAGGTTGTGATGGCGCTTTCAGCTCGGTGCGTCAGCAATTGGTCAAGAAGCCAGGCTTCAATTATTCACAGGAGTACATTGAACATGGTTATTTGGAACTTTGTATACCAGCAAAAAATGGCGAGGTATGGCATTTTTGCAGTTAATGTCCTTTCTTGTGTTGCCTCTAAGAATTAAACAAATTTATATAACAGTTTCAAATGCCTGAGAATTATTTACACATTTGGCCACGTGATGAATTCATGATGATAGCGCTGCCCAATCAAGATAAGTCGTTTACTGTCACACTTTCAATGCCGTTCAAAGTTTTTGCAACCATACAAACTACCGCCGATTTATTAAAATTTTTCCACAAATACTACGCTGATGCAGTGCCACTGATCGGCGAGGAAAGGCTGATTAAAGATTTCTTCAAAACACGACCACAACATTTAGTTTCGATTAAGGTAAATTGTGGACTATTATATTTTCTATAATTTATTTAAGCTAAAGACTTTATTCTATTTTCAATATAACTCAAATAAGTAATTCTATTATATAAATTTTCACCGAAACTCCAGTTTATAATAAAATGTTTCCTAATTTCCAGTGCTATCCATACCACTACGGCTCGAAGGCGCTAGTTCTAGGTGATGCTGCACACGCTATGGTACCCTACTATGGGCAAGGCTTAAATGCAGGCATGGAAGATTGTACGCAGCTAATGTCGCTATTTAATCAAACAAGTTTAAGTACCGCTGAAGTATTGCAGCAATTTACCGAGTTGCGTTGGCGTGATGCGCATGCCATTTGCGACTTGGCGATGTACAATTATGTTGAGGTAAATATATGTACTAAAATTTATATTTTACATTTTTATTAAAAATTTTTACATCATTTAAAAACAGATGCGCGATCTCACCAAACGGGCAAGTTTTCGCTGTCGTAAATGGCTTGACACGTTACTATTCCGTTGGTTTCCAAGCGCTTGGGTGCCATTATATAATAGTGTTTCCTTCTCCAGCATGCCGTACAGCAAGTGCATAGCTAATCGCAAGTGGCAAGATAAGGTGAGTGATTATGGTATAATTAAATTTAATACCACTTAAAACTTCTGAACCCGTTGCTTTCTACTTTTCAGCTGCTAAATAATGTACTAATTTCTACTGTGCTGGCGGTCATTGCTATCATCATTGCCATATATTTTGGAGTTTTTTAAGATGTTACTTTTTAGTAATGAAGTTACTAGTATTTAAAGAGAAAGAACGAGCTGTTTAACGTCCGTAGGTATTAATTGTTGAAGATTTGTAATTTTATGTAGAGTTTGAAATTGAATGCATGCATAAATTGTAGTCTTGGGGGGTCGTAGATAATTATTACACATATATAGTAATTCATACATGTTGTACCATATATAGGAATTGAATGAATAAAAAATTGCATATCGATGCTTTAGTGCGTAAAGATGCCAATTGATTTGGAGATAGTTTTAAATATTTTAATTATGTGATTCGACACAAGAATATTCCCCAGTTACATATGTATATCGCTTTCATTTGCACAAAGTGTTTACTCTCTAGTATCTAACTGGAGCAGTGCAGTTATCTGCCTAGGGAAAAGATATATTTGGATAGTAAATAGTAACTTCTGCTTATCCATTTACCCAGTATTAATGCTAATATTCATAGTTAAGCTGAAACACCCTTAACAGTCATCAATGATATTAATATTAACCTTATATTTTGCATGAATATACTATCAGATTTCAGTGCTATAGTCAGTATCAGGGATGACTGTTAGATCAAGTACCAGACATTTTTACATTGGCAAAGATTTAGTTTTTTGTTTTACACTTTTACAAAACAACTAAGATTAATCAAGGATTTTTAATAAATATTGGATCATTATTCATTGACCTTGAATTAAAGAACAGTCTATTGAAGAAAACGGAAATTTAATTGTGACAAAAGAATTTATGCATATTTTCCTCGTGGTTCCACAAATTCTGCGATCAGCTAATACCAAGAAGAATTTCCAAAAGTGTTGCCTACTTTTCGGCAATGTAGAATATTCAAAGCACATGTATGGTAATTTCTTCAATCCATACGTGACATAAATGTATACATACTATATGTTTTATACATTGTCACACCATTTTAATCATAAAATTTTTGCATTTATTAAATTAAGTGATATTCAATAATATTTCATCACTCACTGTGTTTTCGGTTGTTCGGCCTCGTTAAGAAATTCGCCACTGCTTTCTGCTATTAAATTTAAATGCTTTGCACACTGCGCACATCTTTCGCCTGCTTCGCTCTGCGTCCAAATGGTTTCAAGTATGTAGATGGGGTAATTCTCGTGCCCACCAGCTGCTAACGACCGACCATGTGCTTTGCTAATTTCTTTAATATTATTTTTTTGTTTTTGGAATTGGCGCCTGAAATGCTCTGAGTTTCATAGAGGCAAAGTGAAAATAAAGAGAGTAAAATTATTGTAAAATATATATGTACGTTTGTATGTACCTATGTATATATTGGTATAACAGATATGGACATGTGTATGTATGTAAGAGTAAAACCGCTTTTAGACGGGTCGATTTCTGTCGACTGGAAAATCGACTGGAAAATCGACTGAAAAACCGACCAGCCAGAACACTTACATTTTGCGGCTGAATTGTCATTTACACTGGTCGAATTAGGTTGAACGACAAAAATCGACTAGAAAATCGACCCGTGTAAAGGCAGCTTAAGAGCTCTAACACATATTCACATTCTTTGGCTCTGCAACTGTTGACTATTGGAAATTTACCAGAATATTCTATTTTTGTTG